CATTCCTGCACTAACGGCAACTTTACGGTAAGCCCGGGCCTGGGTTCACTCTGGCCCAGAACCTTCCCTTTGCAGCTAAGGTGGAGCTCTGCAGACCCCTGCGGGGTACGTGCCGGGCCCCCGGAAAGCTGTGGCAGGAGAGAGCTAACTGCCTCTGTGAGGTGCTTGCCACCTGGGGATGCGGCCCGGGGCTCGGCCAGGACTCGGCCACTGGCGTGGGGTGTGACTTGGCCACGCTTCCCGGGCGTTGATGCGCCGGTTTTCCATTGCAGGTGTGTCTGTGACCAGCAGCGATCCTTTGCACTAGGAATCCAGTGGATCGTGGTTAGAACTCTAGGTACTGTGCTGTGTGAGGAAGCCATGCATAGCTGTGGTGTGCATTCACCGCACAAGGGCACGCGCCAGGCTGGTGTGCATCCCAGCACGAGGCTGTGCCCACATAGGGGAAGGGCTCCATTCCCTAACAGTCCGCTAGAGGGACCCATGGCCATGTTTTTGCCCAGAGGGACCCATTTCCTCATTAACACGCGGGCTCCACCAGAGTCGAAGACCGTGGGGAATCTCTCGGCATGGAGGCAAGCCCCCAGAGAAAGGAACATTAAGCCCCCTTTGCACCCGCTGTGAACACCAGTGGCCGAAGTCACGTTCCTTACAGCCCGCCTGGTCTGGGTCTCTGGACGCCCCCGCGGGCTGCCCGGGTACCGAACGTGCCTCTCTCCGCAGGGGGCATCCCGGGCCCCATCGCCTTTGGCTGGGTGATCGACAAGGCATGCCTGCTCTGGCAGACCCAGTGCGGCCAGCAGGGCTCCTGCTTCGTGTACCAGAACTCGGCCATGAGCCAGTACCTGCTTATCGCAGGGCTGGCATACAAGGTGAGCAGGGTGGCCTCGCCCCCAGGTGCGCTGGCCGGGGGAGGGAGTCCCAGAGCCTACTCCAAAGGACCAAGAGCCTTTTCCAGCTAGCTCAGGCATCTGGGCATGCCACTGGGATCTTCCCACTGGAACCCTGGGCATCATCCTGCAGCCCGGTTTCCAGAAGTGGGATCCTTCCCCATTTCGAGCTGTTGTTGCTGGGGATCGTGATGCTGTGATGCCAGTGGTGGGAACAGTGGGACAGCAGGCCCAGGTCACACGGGCTCGCTCTCCAGGCCCCCTGCCCTCCAGGGCCCTCACCATCCCGGCTTGGTGGTTGGCCCCTGGGCTCTGGTCAGCTAAGGCTTTGGAGAAATCAAAACTGCTCCCCCTGCAAGAGCCCGGGCCGCCCTGCTGCTCTGGGCCGGGCCGCCTGTGGCTGTGGGTCCACGAGCAGCGCTTCTCCTTCTCCATCCTTAGTGGGTCTTGAGTTACGTCCTGCTTCTTAGCCTGACCCTCTGCTTTCAAGCTGTTAATGGAAACTTCCTGCTGTACCTCTTGGCGTACGCTACGTGGGGTGAAACATAGTATTTATATTTCGAGTTTCCCCCCGTTGGAGGAAAAGGCACACAACTTCCCAAATAAAATGAAATCCTAGGGCTGGTATGCAAGAATGTCTTGGATTTCTTTGGGTGGAGGGTGGAATTGGGAATGTCCCACTGTCAGAGCCTTTTCGGGAGGGGCCTCAGAGACAGGATTCTCAGCCACCCTTGGGTTTATCTCCCCGAAGATTAGCTTAAAAATAGCCAAGTGTGAAAAGGGACTTGCGCGGCTCTGGACAAACGGGTCAGTTCAAATAGACGCGCCCCGCACAGGGAGCCGGCCCTTGCTTTTCTCTTTCCCGGT